ACTTACCTGAAACTGTGATTGCACAGACTACGCAAACGTTTGCTTTGGCTGGTTGTGGATTGCACCCTGCTTACCGTAAAAATAATACTTTATGCAGGCCGGTTTTTAAGAAAGAATTGATTAACGCCTCACATCTTATATCATTTAGACCGCTCTCGCAGTAATAAACGGGCAGCTACTTCCAGGAGACAATGGCGTCAGCCGTCACCCGGATATTCATTAACTCATGACTTCAGTCAGGAGCAAAGAACCTGGAAAATATGTTTGATGTCAGATAGCTCATAGAAGGGACCGTCAGCGGAATGATAAATATTTCGCAGGCTAAAAAGGGGTATTTGCCGATAAAACTGGCTGCCTTGCATAATGCAATTTCCAAAGGCGAATCACCCGGCTACTTTTGGTGCAACACCTGGTAAATGGGTGATTGCTTATGCTCAGATACGGTTGTTTATGGCTGCTTTTAATAATTACAATACCCGGATTTGCACAGACATCCGCAGACTCAACGGTAGCGCTGAAAGAGGTGGCGGTTACCAACCGGATACCGGCGCTGGAAATGAAGAATGGCTTGCTGATAATGAACCTGGAAAACAACCCGCTTGCCGCGGGTAGCACCGTATTGGAAATGCTGAAACGTATGCCAGGTGTATTGATTGATGAGCAAAACAATATTACGATCAATGGTAAAAGCGGGGTAGGGTTCCTGATGGATGGACGGTTGCAGCAGATGCCCGTTGCGCAGATGATACAGGTATTGAGCAATACGCCCGCCAATGCCATTGCAACGATTGAGCTGATTAAAAACCCATCCGCAAAATATGATGCGGCCGGTACGGCAGGACTGATCAATATCGTGTCAAAAAAGGTAAGGGTAAAAGGCTTTAACGGTACGTTTATGGAAAGTACAGGTATGGGGAAACGGTTTGGAAATGGTATGAATGCCGTCCTTAATTTTCGCTCAGACCGGCTGACTGTTTTTGCCAATGCCAGTTATCTCTACCGGAATCCTTTGTCGGAAGTAACCCTGGAGCGCATACTGAACACCGGTAGTGTTACAGATCGTATCTATTCCGGCGGGCAGTCTGAAAGCTTTACAAATTCAGTGCCCCTGAAGGGCGGGCTGGAGTATGCCCTTAGCAGCAATACAACCATGGGCCTGACTATCGGCTGGATGCCATCGGCCGCTAAGGAATTTCAGTATAATCATCTGAGTATTGCCGGACATTCATTGCCCTATAATTACCTCGCATCATTTACCCGTGGCCGCGAAGATTATAGTAGTCCCAGCGCTGCACTTTACCTGCTGCATAGCTTTGATACTGCGGGTACGCAACTTTCGTTTACTGCCGATTATACCGGCTTTTTATACAATCAGTCGAGGGCCAACGAAAACCATTTTTTCACAGACGATCATGTTGCCATTGGTCCAGCTCTTATTTACCGCAATAGCAATGACCTACACTTAAGCGTATGGACACAAAAGCTTGATTTTTCCAAGGCGCTCACCCGCACATTAAAAATGGAAACGGGCATCAAAGCCAGCTTCGCTGAAAACAGGAGTCATACGGTGCTTGACCGAAATGATATAGACGGCAGCGCTTTCTATAAAG